TTACTGATAAAACAAAAACAAAAAAAACCGAATTTAGGTACCGAAAGTCCTACACTTCTTAAACTATCTGCTCCCAATTATTTTCTGCTGAAATTTGGCATGTGCAAAGAAAATGCATGTAAAAAATTGCCTGAATAACAAAAAAAGCGGACACGACATTCCTTCGACAACAAATTAATGTGAGAACATCAACGAAATTTTCTTGAAAGTTTTCAGCAAAACTAACCATAAAAAAGTTTAGTGATTATACATAAAAGTACTATAAAAATCAAGCCTAACCTTTCTTCTTTCCAAATATAACTTTTATTTATATATGTTTCTAAAAAGAAACACCACAAAAAACGTTTGTCTAACCCTACCTAAAAAAAGCAGTATATTTAATAAAGCACCTTGTAACATATCTGCTCCCAATTATTTTTCGTTGAAATTTGGCACATAAATAGAAAATGCATGTAAAAAATTGCCTGAATAACAAAAAAAGCGGACACGACATGCCTTCGACTGCAAATTCATGTGAAAACATCAACCAAATATTCAGGAGCAAAATAATCTGTTGAAAAGTCTAGTAACCATACATAAAAGTTTTAAAAAAGTAAAGATTAGCTTCTCTTCTTTCCAAAAAGTATCTATGTGTATATATGTTTCTAAAAAGAAACACCACAAAATTACGTTTACCCCACGCTGCCTAAAAAGAAGTGAAAAAAACGAGTCACAAAATTTTAGCAAAAAAATCGGTTCCGTAAATCACGATATGCGCGTACCTAATAAGAAAAACATATATAATATATATTTTATATTTATATAATATATCAAGTAATCTCTACTTGTAATCCACACTCATGAAATGATACGGTCGTAAAGAAATATCCATTTAATATTTACCTTACTAAATGCATCACAAGTTAAGCCATGTATTATTGTTAAATTGTCAAATTCAAAACCTTATAAAAAGGCAACAGATGGCCTAATTTATTAGCATGTGTGACTTTACTTGTTTTTATTGGGCTAATAAATAACTTTACTTTTTATTTGTTATGCTAATAAAAAAATTTTTAAGTCACGCATGCGTATTTTAGTTCTCATATTGCAATTACGAACGGTTGAACTCGAAATATAGACGTTGAAATTACGTGGTCTTTACATAAAACATGCGTTTCTTGAATAGAATAGTAATTTTAAAAAAAAACTCTAATAAAAAATGATTATATATATTAATAGTTAATTTAATAACCATATAATATTGACCTCTAGTAACCAAATGGTCTTATCCAGATATATAAGATTAGGATTAAATGAGTTGGTTCCTTATTTACTGCCTAGCTCCGGCTTTGCAAGGATTTTTGCGCATTGGGCAATAATGAAAAAAATGCGCCTTTTTAACAGTCAATTTTTGGCTCCTTTATTTTTTTGGCCTATTTAAGCCTATTTCTCCTTTGGCCCCTCTTTTTCTACGCTACTGATTTTAAGCTATTTGAAAAAAATAGAAATAATTCAAAAGAATCAAACTACATATCCCTTTTTGTTTGTTCTTGGGTTCTTTAGAAAAAGTTCTTCAGCATAAGCACAGTCGAAGTTGACTTTTTAAGGCCGGAATTTAACTGGCTAATCTAGACCAATTGCTAGATTCTACTGTAATAATAATCTTGTTATAAAACAGTTATACTTTTAAATAAAATAAAAAAATGCACTGAGAATGCAAAGACATGACTTGTCTTGCAATATATTAATAACAACAGTTGTACAAAGGGAGTTTTCTAAATTTTTCAGAGAGCGCAGGATAGATTTGAATGTCAACCATTGCCAAATGTTTTACCACTATTCTACTACCACATATCTCAATGGGATTCCTTTAACTACCACATATCTATGGTGTTCAACTACCACATATCTATGGTGTTCAACTACCACATATCTATGGTGCTCAACTACCACATATCTATGGTGTTCAATGGGATCTCAATGGGATAAAACTAAAAGTTGTCTTACAATATATTAACAACAACAGTTATACAAGTTTTTTGCAATTTATTGAAACTTTGACTCAATCATAAAAACTTTTTCTATCAATCTCAAGCTATAAAATTGTAATACCAATTAACATGCCTTTTTTTAAATTTTTTAAACAAAGTGTATCAATTAGCCTAGCCCGCTTGCGGTTAGAATTCAGTAGTTGTGGTTTTACCTAGGTATCAAGATTTCTTCTATCCAAGTGCTAGTGTTATTAATATAAAATAAAATCTATAAAACTCTTGGGAATATATTCTAAAGCTTAGATTTTTTTTATCAACAAAATATTTACTTTAAAAATTGCAAATATTCTACAAGACATATCATTTCAATTTTTAATACTTTCCATTGCCTGTAAAATTAGGCTATTTATTTAAGTAGTATGATTTGAAACAAATATTCAACGGAAATTACAGGAAGACATAATGGTCTTGTCTCTGAGCACTATAATTAAAATAGCATTTGGGTGCTTTCCCGTGTTAAAATTTACTGTCACACGTGCCAAAAGCCAAATTTAAATCGTAGTTCTTGAACTACGCTTTGACAAGTAAGCTTAGGTTTCTAAAACGGCATGAAGTAACACAACGGAAAATATTTATTTTAAACTCTTAAATCTAGATAAATTGAAGCATGTGGTAGTTTAAATTTTAAATAAAATGGAACTTGCTTTAAACCTCTATAATGGCCACCCCTTAATGACAGTAAAAATATATTGTACACAAAACAAGTATGACTTAAAACTATACCCTAACCATGATCCTTGTGACTATGTAGTTGGTTATGTAATAACTAGGGTAGGTTTTAAAATACTTTTTCCAAGGTTTGATGCCTACTCTGACCATATAATATATTTTCTCAGAGTTGAAAGCGCTCCATGTGAGTTTAATTGTAAACTTGATGTGCTGGTCTGTTGATATGACCAAGGATCAATTCTAGATTTACATTCTCCTAGGTCTTAATTAGAATCAATATTTGGGGCCCGCATCATTTATAAGTTGCAAAAACTAAAAGACTAAAAAAAAATCCTCGTTTTTAAAATTTAACATATTTAACAAACCCCTAAAATCGTCAGGTCCAAGGTTGAAAATGCCATGGGCCGGATTAACCTAATCTGTCAATAGGTAAATCCAGCTCAAACCAGAGTTATTATTAAGGCCAAAAATAGCAAGGCCACATGTTACTAGAAATGGTAGAAGACTGCACTTTGCAAACAAATGACAAATACTTCGAGCTGGAGTTTAAGCTAAAACTTTGGGCGCCCATAAATAAAACCGGTAAATCGGTATCAAAATTGGCTAGGATAGGTCTTTGCCTAAAATTATTTTTTATTAAAAAAATTTATAAAGTTAGTATTATTTAATTATATTTATTACATTCAGTTGGTAGAATGTAATGTTTTTTTATAAATTTTTGTTTCAAGATCCACCCTTCAAAACACGTAAATAAAATTGATTTTAAAAATATCTTTTTTATTAGTATTTTTTTAAATAAAAAAAACATTTTATTTTCAGATGTTTAATATCAAATCTTTAACTGAAAAATCGAGAAGTTTATAAATTATTACCTTATAAACAAACTTATCAAATTAAACGGGGTATAACATATATAAAAGAAAATGTATTTAAGGGTAATTAAAAGGTATTTAATGATACAACAGTTCAAAATTAACAAAAAATTGCTATAACACTATCTAAAGAGTAGGATAAACTAATAAAAAAACAACAACAAAAAAACACAACAAAAGCAACCTTTAGGATGTGTGTGTTCACATTGCCTAATTAATAGATCATACGGTTTTTACACAATATACCGTTCATCGTACAACTATGTTACGAAGGCTTTTGTCATGTTGTAGAGGATGACTAAAGATCCAAAAGGTGTCATATATGTTTTTAAAGACGTTAATAATAATGATAACGTTTTATATAAATGTAAAATTGGTATAAATACTAAAATTACCTTTTCACATATATAACTTTAGAAAAACCATATATACCAATCAAAATTGCAAATGTGACACTTGCCTTAAAAACCTCTATAAAAAAATGTAAAACATCTTTACAACATTAAACATTATATTTTAAGTCCTAAGTTTAGAAAGAAAATAAATTTAAAGTTTAAAAATTATTAGATTAAAACATAAAAAATAAATTAAAAGTAACATCATTAATTCTAAACAACACAATAATTAACATTAACTCTAATCAACTAAACAACCTTAACTCGAGAAAACTAAATAACCTTAACTCTAGTCAACTAAATAATATCAACTCTAATCAACTAAATAACCTTAACTCTAATCAACTAAATAACCTTAACTCGAGACAACTAAATGACCTTAACTCTAGTCAACTAAATAACATTAACTCTAGGCAACTAAATAACATTAACTCTAGGCAACTAAATAATATTAACTCTAATCAACTAAATAACCTTAACACGAGACAACTAAATAACCTTAACTCTAGTCAACTAAATAACCTTAACTCTAGGAAACTAAATAACATTGTCTCTAGGCAACTAAATAATATTAACTCTAATCAACTAAATAACCTTAACTCTAGGCAACTAAATAATATTAACTCTAATCAACTAAATAACCTTAACTCGAGACAACTAAATAACCTTAACTCTAGTCAACTAAATAACCTCAACTCTAGGAAACTAAATAACATTAACTCTAGGCAACTAAATAACATTGTCTCTAGGCAACTAAATAATATTAACTCTAATCAACTAAATAACATTAACTCTAATCAACTAAATAATATTAACTCAAGACAACTATAACTTTAACCCTAACCAACTAAATAATATTAACTCTAAACATTAAAATTATTAAGATTCACCCAAAAAAAGTAATAAAATTAACTCTAAACAACTAAATAAATACCTCAGTAAACTTGCAAAATAGTAACACTCTAAATTGCTAAATTATAAAAAATAATTTAATTATTATACAAACAAATTATTGATGATTTAAAACTATAAAGTTATTGAGCACTTCGAACAAAACCATTCAGCACTCTCATGTGCCAACACATATTCTAGTATATTTTCACATGTACGATGAAACCAGCATTCACATTTTTCACACTGTACCATATGCCTAAATTTAATGTTGCTTTGCGTACAAATATACTAATGAAAACTATAATAAAGATAACTAGTTAAAAATATAATTATAAGAAATGACTGACACAACAAGTGCTACGATACCATTAAAGATAATTCACTAACCTATCTTTTATAAATTTATCTGAAGCTGTTCATACTTGTCTGCAAATGCAATATAGATTAAATACAAATTTCTTTTCTTTACAAAACATTGTTTTTTTTGAAGTTTTCGGAAATTCATTTAGGTGGTTTCCCGAAATACTTTGAAGTAAATGCTTTCGCATATCAACATCTTCAAATCCAATATAACATGGATTCAAACCAGTAAAAGCAATGTGCTTCGCAAATGCCAATGCAAACAAGCCACAATCTATAGTATTTGCTTGTTGCTGTACAGGTAAAACTCGTACAGTTAAAATGTCCTTGGTACACTGCATTATTGCACAAATTTGCCTGATGACATGATTTTTGACTTTACCATGAAACATGCTGTCTAACAGGCACACCTCACCATCAGAACACCTAAAAGTACTAACTGTTAGCCAATGTGCATCACCATCATGCAAAACCTGAACAAAAGATTCTTTGATTGCATGAAATGATAAATTTTGACCCAAAACTGGATCCCGTAGGCCACTAACACCACTAATCATATTTTGGACAGAATGGATCACTGTGTCTGATAACATCTGGTTGGTTTTAATATCATTCAAATCTTCAGCAGAAAGATTAGTCTTATAAACTACATTTGCTTCAAAACATTCTTCATCGTTATCGGAAAGAAAAATTACCTCTTCCTCCATTGATCTATTATTGTCAATGGATTTTTCAACTATTTCTAATTTAAATGTGTCGGTTAGGTAAACTTCTTCTGTAATAAATATTTTTGAAGCAGCTATAGCCTCATCTTTTCTAGATCCAACACGTTTAAATGGAAGTTTTATTGGTTTCCGAATAGGTATTTGGATGTGTCTCATTAATGAATTACTTGATTTATCATTTAACCGGCGAACAGCAATACCTGATTCTTTTACTCTTCCTTTGTTCAACTTTTCAATAAGTGAAGAAAGAGTTTTGTGCAGTAGCATGATTTCAAAGGAGTTTTCATCAAACTCAAATGATAAATTTTTCACTGTATTTAACATCTCCCTTACATCTACACCAGAATAAATGGGTTGAGTATTTTTATATGACTGTTTCTGATTGACATTGACAGTCTGTTCTTGTATTAGAGGCAACAATGCCTTGAATTTTAAAAGCTGTTTTTTCATGCTCTATTTCATAATTTTCGGAATCTATATTCAAGTATGGAGAATTCCAATAAAGAATAGACAATGCATTCCACGACCATGCAGGATACTTCCGGAATACAACAAAAAAGTGTTTGCATAAGTAAGCTGTTGATAGCCAATCAACACAGGTACATTTTGGCATACTGATCTCATCACCGAATGATATAAAATATTAAACTGAAGTATTAAAGGTACTAGATACTGAAAAAATACCAGATTTAATAACTACTTTGTTTAAATCCATGCAATCAGCGGTGGACTTTTGCTTTAAGCAATGCTTAACAAAACTGTGCGGGCGATTGTAGAGATATTTTGGCACCCAACAAGCATATCTTTTGTATCGGGCATCCATTTTGAAGTTGAAGTCAGTGTAACTAAAATTTGCAGATACAATACTTTACCAACACTTTAGACATTATTCTATACAAAATAAAATTTATTATTTCTTTATTTAAAGTGAAGTTAAAATTTTAGTACAGAAAAAGTATACTATCATAGAGAAATATTAGTTACCTTGTCTTCAATATTTAGAAAATGTTTGGGAAAAAAACACTAACCTTTCTAGTTTATCAGTGAAAAATTCCTCGGTAAATAAGGTCAACATTCCAGTCATAGAAGAACTATTGTATCTTTTTAAATGGGAATATTTAAAAGATGCATTTTGCCTCTCGACACCATTGTTTGTGTTACAACTGATTAGTAGACGATTTTGTCTGTAGCAGCAGATCCACTTCTACATTAAAACAGCATTTTATTTTACAAACTCAATCCATGTAAAGGTTTTAAAAAAATCTATTATCAAAAAAAAGTATAGTGAGTTGACTCATGCTTAATAATAAATACCTTCTTTATTGGCAACCAATACGTTTCAATATAATGTTTTAATTTAGAAAAACTTTCAAGTTTCCAGAATTCTGAAAACTCTAACACTTGTGTGGCTTTTATCTCCTCTTCACAAGTTTTTGACCAAGCAATATAGTCAAAATTTCATCTTTTCTGCTGTAGCAACCATTTGCTTTCTTTTTAAGCCAACGATCCCATGCCTGCTCTCTATGAAATTTGCATATAAAAACTTCACATCCTAATAAAAAAACAAAACTAAGAATTTATAATCAGCATGACACTTATTTCAAAAACAATTTGTGTTTAAGATTGGTTAATATAAAACAAAGAAATCATTTTTATAAGCAAGTAAATGTAGATAAACAGTAAAAAACAAACCAATAAAAACAGTTTCCACAGCTCGCATTTCCTCATTATAATAAGCAGTCATACAATATAAGGGTTTTAGATCAATATTCCAATACTTTATTACATTCAATGCTTTTTTAATTGATTCAAAGGTTTCATTTTCTGAAACAAATGTTGCTACAATTTGGAAATCAACATTAGTTTTTACAACTAAAAAAAACAAGGGCAACGAATACTGAATGGTTTTGTATGTCACATCTAAAAAGATCATTTCATTCCCATATTTATTGAGCAGTTTCTTTTGCCAGCCTGCTTGGTAAACAAAAACGAACTCATCTTCATGTTCACTCACTTTTGGTTCAAAATGGATGTTAAGAATCATCTCTATTCTTCCACTCTTTTATTTTGCTTTCTAAGCATTCCTGGTCAATGTTTGAGAATCTAAAAAAAAAACTAATGTGTTAATTGAAAAAATATTAAAACCACCTTAAAATATAAATGTCTTTGATTTTTTTTGCTTTAGGTAAAAAAATTTTGTATTTCTGCTAACAGATATGCTTTCTAAGTTACTTCTTGGATACAGGCTAGCATGGAATCTTTTATTTCATCTCAATGATTTCTAGTCAAATCTCACTCTACTTTTGTGATTTTCTTCTTATTGTGCTACTCCAATATCTAATCATAATCATTAGTTCCATGTCTATCCACCAAAAAAATTCTTTAGAAAGCAATTGTCTGTTTACCATTGCTATTAAAAAAACTATTATAAAAAGATTTTGTGTAACACTATAACCCATCATTCTCAGGTTTCCAAATCTTGTATTTAATCTCATGAATCAGGCTATACTAGAGAATCTTCAGTGTTGAGTACTCTTATGAGCACATACTTATGAGATATGTCATTGGTGTTTGCATAATGCTGGCCCACTACTCTGTAGTTTTAGCACTTTGGCGTGACACAAATGTTTTAAATTGTTTTTAAAACAGTTTTCTAGTTATATTGCTAAGATTATCTTAAATAATAAATTATTACATTACTGAAGATTCTAAAGGACGAAAATATTGTCTAATATTGTTAAAATTGTGTGTGTGTGTGTGTGTGTGTGTGTGTGTGTGTGTGTGTGTGTGTGTGTGTGTGTGTGTGTGTCTATATATACATACATACATATCTATATATACATATATATATATATATATATATATATATATATATATATATATATATATATATATATATATATATATATATATATATATATATATATATATATATATATATATATATATTCAAGTATTGCAAATAATTTAACTTTTGCTAAATCAAGCACTAAATAAAAAAGTCTGTAAATTTACAACCTCTAACCTTGATGCTTGATGCAATATAGTAAATAATGCATCAAGTGGCTTTAAGACACTCATGATATGTGTGTAAGTTTTACATCTATTTTTACACACTTCAATAGTTTTGATTGGTTTTTTATAATGACATATAAATGATATTGTGAAACTAACTAATAACAAATAATACATTTTAATACAAACTAAAAGCTGAAAAAACTATACAGATATATCTGAATAATTCCTTAAGAGAATAAAGGTTCCTTGATAACTTTGATGGATGGAATGACTTAGAGGATAAAGTTTTAGAGGAAAATATGTAGAAAATATAATTAAACTTTTTTTATTAAATTTTTATTTGAAAACAAGTTTACAATTAAAGAGCTGAATTGCAAAACCAAATAATTCACTTTAAAAAAAAAAAGACTGAGCAATTTTTTTTTGTAGTAATAATATTCCTACATCTTTATGAATTATTTAAAAGCAACTATTTTAATAACATTTTACCTGCCTTAAATTATTCTGTTCGTACAAAACTAGATTAAAAAAAAAGTCTAAGGCAGAGGGGTGTTATGCACAATTATATTGATTATTAAATTATAATTATATTGATTATTATCGTCACTAGTCAAGTTGACTTTATAAAGCCATTTTGAAAACTAGTTAGGAATAAATTTCCGGTCAAAACCAGATATAAAAATAATTGGCATGCAAAACCAGATAAAAGGTTTTTTTTAAGAATGTAATAAAAATAAGATCAAAAGAGCACAATTTTCAAGTTTTTGCCTTAAACATTCTTTTAATAATATCTATTGATTAACTTTTAATTTTTTATTTTTAGCAATTTGATTTACTAGAAAACATTTTTTGCTATTATCTCAGAATTAAAAAAAAGTGAATTGAAGGGTTTTGCGAGTCCACTCCTCAATTGATGTTATATTACCTTAGCTTTTTACATTCCATAACTATATGAGCACGGATAATATCATTTCTTGGATAAAATCTACAGTTGTTAGGAGTGGGAAGACTTTTTTCTCCAAACATCTCATCAACAGTTAATTTCAAAATTCTTTTTATCTCACGTACATTTGAAACACCTTGTTTAACAAACTCAGAAATTTTACTTGACAACCGATGGTCTATTTTTTGAGACAGAAGTTCACTCTAAACAATATTTTTACTGATATAGTTTTCTACTACCATTAGGGTGGTCCATTTTAACATTTTTTTTTTGTTTAAATTAATAAGACATGTTGACTTATGTTGACTTCAGGGTTGACTTATGTTGACTTATGTAAGACATGTTGACATGTTGACTTACTTTTGGTCTAAAAATGAACTGCGCAAAGTTTCAGGTTGAAAAAAATATATTTAGGGGTTGCTCAAGCATATCAAAGTCTATAATATTTTATGGTTTTGCCAAAAAAGTTTTAAAAACTAGAGTTTTTGTGCAGACTGTGTATTTTTGTTGTGTTTAATCATTGTGTTTCATTATCAATGTAGGAATATTGTAGAAATTTTTATTTCATTCAGTAGATGTCAGCACTATACTTAGTATACTTCTAGAATAATTATTACATACAATTTTAAACACCCTTATTTGGTAATATTATTATTATCAATTATGGAATTAACTTTTTGAATTAACACTTCTTCATTCATTTTAATAGAGTTTGTTTGCACAATTTATTGCAGATCAAATAATTTAGAATAAAAAATGGTTACAGCTGCAATAAATATACAAACACGAAAAGCAACAGAAATATATTTGATTGGGCAACCATTAGAGAATTTTGGTGAGTGATTCCTTCCAACAGAATGTTTTAAAGTGTATCTTCTTTATTGAAAGCAACAGTTAGGAGAATCTAGCAGTCTAGCTTTGCTCGAAAAAGTATACCTGATGATTATGCCGAACTGTGTCAACTGTCATTGTATTTTCTGACGCGAGAATTATGTGCTCCAATCAGGAAGCTTGTTGCATACCATCATGCCAGGTGGATGGGCGAGGCTATCTATGCGATAGAAATCTTGTTGTTCTGGAAGCAAATGAAACTGACAAAAAGGAGGAGACTGGTCTACATGAAGTGTCTCTCTTCATTATCTTGATTTACTCTAGAGTCTGGATAGAGGCTCTGCGAGCTTATGAGGGAACCGTCAATGATAAGGCTTATTTTTAATTGATAATTGTGAAAGCCGTCTTAAATTCTTTTATTTGTTCCTGCAATTTGCATTTTTTTTAATATATGATTCATTTGATGTATAGCTTGAAACTTTGATAGCATTGAGCAACCTCTAAATACAGTCCAAACTATGTAATATTTTGCACAGTGGCTTTTTTGAACAAAATGAACATAACAAACAATATGCCTCTGAAATATATAAAACTTGACTTTTTTGGACCACCCTAACTACCATAGTAATGTAAACTTTTGAAGTAAACATTTATAGAAAATAACTGCTTGTTAAAGCAAATGCAATTATCAAAATACCTACAACTTCTATAAAAGCTGTGTAATTTTACCTTTCCAAGAGGATGATTTTTGTGACATATTAAGTTGTCTATCTCAACCTTAATTTTTTAAGAATATGTCATGACATTTTGTTGTGACAAAGCATTGTGAATACTTTTAGACACTTGCCTCTTGTAATAATTACTTGGGTTAACAACCTAAAAAAAAATCCAAAATAAAAAATTAGTTTAAAGAGATTTTGAAAGTTAACCTTTTTGAAACTTAAGTTCTTTTTGAATTCTAAAGTGACATCTGTTATTAAAAGACATTTGACTGAGACCTGTGACAATCAATGTCTTGAGTCTAGCAAATCCGGCTCAATTTATCTGTCCAGACAAAATGTTTTTGGATTCATTGCTTTTCCAATCATTTGCTAGAAGGTTGTCAGACAGCAAAGATCAATGAGGATATACCCAGCTAATACAAAACATTCAACGAATGTGCAAACATTCAAGAACATTCTACGAATGTTCATAGAACGTGCTTAAACGTTTGCAATGTTCATCAAACATACTTGAACGTTTTGTGTTAGCTGGGTAGTAAAACATGTGAAAAGGTAAAATAAAGGGCAAGACTCATAATTTAAAAAAAAAATTTACAAAAAACTCTGCTTTGTGTCTTTGTATTCTTTAATTTTTTTGTTATGTCTCATTATCATTAACAGTGCACCTCAAAATGTAGGGGTGGGGAGCTTGAAAAAAAAATGAATGGCTCGAGCTCTAAGTTTATTCAAACTTATAGCTCTGACTCTGGATTTTAGTTTTTTGGAATGTATTGCACAAACTCTGATTCCCAACTTTTTTTAAGGCTCTGACTCTTTTCATTATCTTTTTATGTATTTTTTAAATCAACTATAATCATTAATTTATTATATTTATTAATTTATTTATAAATTATCACATAGACTGAATGAAAGGCTGTTTTCGAATTTTACAACAATAATTGATAAATAGAATTAGAAACTGTATAAATAAAAATTTAAGCTAAAAGGAGCTGAAAAGCAGGTCTTTTTCAAATGGTATTGACACTTATGGTTCCAGCTCCCCAACCCTGGCAATATGCCTATAGTGTAATATGAAAAAACAAAATCAAAGTAAGCTTCCATTTGCTGCTGATATTCACTAAATTATTTTTTGCTAAATAATTTTTGAGGTTGAATACGTAACTTGTGACTTGACTTGAAGTTCAAGTCAAATCACATTGACACTATAGCTTAAGTCAAGTTCCAACTCTTATTTTAGTTTATCAAGTTAAGTAAAAAAAAAAAAAAAGAAAGTGATTTATATATTTATAGTTGTAAATTTTTAACGAGGGATTTTAAATTTGAAGACCACAGCTCTGGTTCCAATAAAATGTTATTAACAAACATGTGCTGCATAATGACTTACACTTAAAGTCATTCTACAGAACACAACATAGAATAATTAAACCTTTAGTTTTCAGTTGTGTTTTAAAATCAAATAAGTAACACATAGCTATCTCTTACAGGATTGTTAAATAATTTAACATTTGAATAAAATAATACATAACACATAATGATTTTGAATAATAAACATAACATAGGTATATAAAATATATTGTATGAGATGTACAGGAAATATTTTTAATGAAAAAAAATAATATTAAATGAAGAAATTAATGCAACACTAATTTGCAATTAAACTAACTATATTAGTAACATACTGAAATTCTAATAGGGAATGGAACTAACTGAAAAAATAAAATATTAAAGTAAATCAATACACTATTAGGCAGAGTGATATAATGTCAAATACAGCACTGGGAATATTTGAAATATTAAGTATTTAAAATACTATTTTAAGTATTTCTTTGTATGTGTATTTTAAATACTTTTGTAGGAAGTATTTAGCATTTTGACTTAAAATACTTTTGATTAGTATTTTGTACTCATTGCAATTACCTGTAATTCAAATACTTCTTTAAACATCCACAATGCACATGCATATTCAACTAATTGTTCGTCAAAGTTTCACTCTGCCACTATTTATTTTGATTTATTTTTTGTTTTATAACTCTTACTGTCTACCTTGGTTTAATTAGAGTGATTATTAAATTATTTCACATTTATCAAATAAATTTTGAAAAAGTTGTAAGTTTTGGTAAAGTATTTAGTACTTCAAATACTTTTTAAAATTATTTTTATTTTAAATACTTTTTAAATATTTTTATTTTAAAAACTTTTATAAAGCATTTTATCCAGCACTGCTCAAACAAACAAAAAATAATGCAAAGTTAGAACATATTAATACTGCTGGATTGTTAAGATTGCTACCTGATTTTCTTTTGCTTTTATATATTTCTGCTTTTTACAAGAATTTTTATCAAAGCCATGATGACAGTCAAATCTTTTTGTTGACAGAATAATAAAAGGAGTGTTATGAAAGTCTGAGGACATTTCCCACAATACTTTGTGATTATCAGCATGCATATCTAAATAAATATTTAACTTTTAAAATCTGTTTTGAATAGTATGTACTTATATTTATTGTAATAGAAATAAAGCTCACAATAAAGTGGAAAAAAGGAATAAAACTTTATTTCTATCAAATAAAAGGAAAACTAGCCATGTGTGTAAAATGTATAAAACAGTCAAGTTGATTAGAGATGATGATTAGAAGACTTCAAAATCAAACCGAATATACTGATTTAAATACCTGTATAACCAAAGTTCTTTGGGGTTGAAAAGGCAGCATACCGAACAGAATTATATATCTCATAATTTTGAAGACATAGATCAGCTTCTTCCACAGAATCACAAATGTAAATGTACATGTTATCTAAAATTTTTAATGTTGATCCATTTTTAGAGTTTAAATATTTTTATTCAATCAAAAATTCAGTATAACTATGACAAATTGACTCATAACAAAAATAAACAAAAACCTTGCAAACCTAATATGTTGTTTTGTTCATTATCTAAAACAAGACATTTTGAAGCTTCCTCAATAGAATTGCAAATGTGTGTTGTATTTTTTTCTAAAACTAATAATTGTTTTATTAACTTAAAAAAACATGCATTTGGTACCAAATACTTTAATATTTTTACATAATTTAAATCAAAATAAATCATAAAAAATTAATCAAATAACCTTGCACATTTAAAGAATCTTCTGCTTCATCATTTGAAATATCAGTTATGTCATCATAATCTGATAAATCTGAACTAAATAATAAGTTTGTATATATGATAAGCCCATATATATAGGCTTATCAATGATAAGCCTATATATATATAGACTTTGATAAGCCAATATATATATATCGTTGATAATGATAATTGATAAGGGTTTATCAATGATGAACCTATATATATATATAGGCTTATCAATGATTAGCCAATATATATAGACTTATAATTAAAAAAATTATAATTTTTTTAAATACTTCAATTTTTTTGTATTATTATTGTAATATTTAGTGAACAATTCGATTTTACTATTTTTTTTTTAATCATTCATATTTTGTTAAATTAACTTATGGAAACCCTAAATAACTTTTTAAAACTACCTTTTCATTGACACATCCATTTTTAATCGTTTCGATATTTGTGTTCTTTTAAAAGCCTCTTTAAATTTCGCGCATTTAGCTACCTTACGCTAACTACTCATAATTACAAGTGGACTTTGATCGACATCTGAGTGATAGTTTCTTTTTTGGAAACACATGAAATTACTAATTTATAAAAAACGGCTCACTTTATATTGTATATAAAGTGAGCCGTTTTTTATAAATTAGTAATTTCATGTGTTTCCAAAATATAAAAACAAATTCATTAAAGTAAGAGAATATAATAATTATATTGTCTAACTTTAATGAATTTGTTTTTATATTTTGGAACAAGTTTATAACAAATAAAAAATAGTTATATATTTTTTAAGATTACAATTATGTTTTAGAAACATTTAGATTTTATTTACACATATTATAAAGGTATAGATCTAAAAAATGTGTTTTTTGCTTTAAAGCGACACCATGCATTCTAGATATAAAAAAAACCTAAAAACAACATATTTACGAATTGTGTAATTTTGAAATATTTTAGTAAAGTTTTGTGCAATTTTTTTATATAGATGAATGTTAAATGCTTTTATGAAGGTTTACCTAAGTCAAAACTTAATCATGCTCCTGTAAAGTTTCAAGTCCAAAATCCAGAAATTTCAGATGATAGTGATTTGTTTACAGACTCTGATGAAGAAATAAATCCAGAAATTGTAGAATGTGGCGATTTATATAGTGAAACTGATGAAGAAATTATATTAACTGATACAGAAGATGAAGTCTGAGATAATCAATCTGATAAAAATGATTTTCAGCTAACTCAGCATAAAAAAACTAGCAAAAAAACATTGAAGTCAGATTTGGTATGGAAGAAAGAGAATCCAGAGGATATTCTGAAAAAAACTCTTCAATATCAGAATGATAATAAAATAAACGATGATTTAGACATTGTTGAACCTATTCAGTATGTAAAACGTTTTTTAAGTGACCAAATGTTGCAATTAAATTGTCGATGAATCTAATAAATATGCTATTCAAAAGAATCCTATCAAACCACTTCAGCTCGATAAAAATGAACTTGAGCAGTTTATCGGAATTTTATATGCTATGAGCATTGTTCAAATGCCATCGACCAGAATGTATTGGAGTAAGGAGTTATACTTTGAATAAATTGGAGAAGTTATGACTGTCAACAGATTTGAACAAATCAAGTTAGTTTTTCATTGCAATGATAACAATAAATTTTACAATAATCATGGAGATTAGTTATACAAGGTGCGACCTATCATTAATATGTTAAAAGACTCCTTTTCAAAACTGAAACATGAAGAAATGTTATGCCTTGATGAACAGGTTGTTCCTTATAAAGGTAAATCATCTATTAAACAGTACAACCCAATGAAACACAAAAAATGGGGATTTAAGATTTATGTTTTATCAGGAGTAGATGGTCTTGTACACAATTTTCAAACCTTTTGTTTTGTAAATCGAATCTTTTGTCTTGCAGATCGACTTTTTTGTCTTGTAGATCGAATCTTTTGTTTTGTAGATCGAATCTTTTGTCTTGTAGATCGAATCTTTTGTCTTGTAGATCGAATCTTTTTGTTTGTAGATTGAATCTTTATGCAAAATTTCTACTTAAATAGTGTTTTCTCAAAAATTATATAAGATAGTGCACTATCTTATATGGTTTTAAATTTATATGGTTAAAAATTTAAGATCACTAGTGATCTTAATTTTTCAAAAGATATGCTTTTCTCATATATATGTGTAAAATAAAAAATTTTCAGCAATATCTGAGATACCCCGTGTGTGACCTGTGCTCCACTTGGAATGGAATGACCACAAAGTATATCTTATTTTAAATTTTTTTCTTGCAATCGACAAGCGTTACAAATTTTATCGAGTCTTAATATTCCATATGTTTTTTTAATGAGTGTTTTGCAAGAAAGCAATAGTTTATTTTCTGTTTGTGTTTTTATTTTAGAGAAAACGAGAATAAGAAGGAACGCATTGTAAAGACAGAATATAAATATAAAACAAATATAGCAACACATTTTGAACGTGTATCTTTATTTTTCGATAATTATATTCAAGATGATTAATGATTATTTGCATGCATATTTATATCTCCTTTAATGAAAATTTTTATCTCCTTTAATTTAACATTAATTTATAACCTCAATCTTAATCTCAAACTTTATTATAATTTTAATCCTAATATTTAAATTTACCTTTTTATCCACTGAACAGTCAAAAGCTAAAAGCAAAAAAATATATATATATTAAAGAAATGTCAAAAGCAGCTGCACACTTGTATATTATAGACATACCATGTATATCATATGTCATATCACCTGTATATACATCACCATATCAGATCAAAATTACAGAGAATTCTCTCAGTGAGCTATAGCGTCCTAATATGCTTAAATTTTTCAAATCAATAAATTTTTTTTAATATTTGGTTGAGTAAGATTAGCTGGTTATTTTATGACTGTTCCCTGAAAGCTGCCTTTAGCAAAACTTGTACAAATATGGTTCATGTTCTGGTGGAGAGTTTAATTATAGAGTTGGGAAAAGATATAGATATTGTATAAGGCTGCAGGTGCTCTAAACGTTAAGCAAGAAAATATAAAATTAAAACTGTTAAAATCGACCAAGTTAGTTAGAAACATTTACACGAAATTAATTGAAACGAAACGAAAGCGAAAGGTGATGTTTCATTATTCTGTAGAACCTAGATTAGATTAGGAATTTTGAAGGTTTCTTGTTTGAAGGTATCATCGAGTTTTCATTTGAAGGTATCATCGAGTTTATACACAATAAGCAAATGTGCAAAGTT